GATTGCCACCAAAAAAAAAAAAAAGCATCTTAATGGAGTTTCTGCATTAAGTGTTAGCACTAAAGGAGATTTGAAATATAAAGTTACCAAACAGATATCCATTTTCTGTTTTTGTAAAGATTCACTAAGAAGAGGGAGCAACCTTGTGGAGCTCCGCTGTTAGATGAGATACGAGATATTCGAATGTAAGAGCTGGAGCCACCCAGTAAGTTCCTAGTCCATGGCTTGTGCTGGTGGTTTCATTTGTTGTTGTTGTTGTTATGTGCCGTCGAGTCAGCCCTGGTGGTTTCATTTAGTACCTGATAAATTTGGCCATTTAGTGAATATGTATTGTGTTAAACCTCTACTTGGGGTCACACACTATGCTAGCGGCTGGAGATGCAACTGTGAACAAAGCAGGAGAGATCCTTGCCTCCCAGAGCCCTATCTTTCAGGGAAAACATTGTGAGCAAGGAAGTAGGCTGCCTTTCCCATCCTCAGAGACGTGAAGGGTGGGCTGCTAGTTGGGCAGAGCCCATGTTAAAGGGGATGACCTGGAGGGGACATTGGTGTTCAGTGGTATCACCTTCTATATGAGAAACCCAGGTTTGATTCTCAGCCTCATGCATAGCTGCCACCTCAGTGGAGGATTGTGTGTCACTATGATGCTGAACAGGTCTCAGTGGAGCTTCCAGAATAAGACAGCCTAGGAAGAAAGACCTGGCAATCTACTTCCAAAATCTGCCAATGAAAATCCTATGGATTATAATGGTTGGATATCCCCTCAACCAATCAAAGAGTGCCTTCAGGAGGAAATGATCTGTAAACTCAGACCCTAAAGCGTAAGTATGAGAAGGGAAGAAGTAGGAAATATTCCAGGCACAAGGAATAACTTGGTAAGGCTTTGTGTGTTTTTATTTTTATTTCTCCCCCTTCTCTTCTTCCTCACCCAGAAAATTCAAGGTTACCCAGGTGGTAGACTGATATGTACAACATTATCCTGTTTTCATTAATTTTTAATACAAATATAAAAATTTAACTATGTATTTGGATTTTATATATAACTACATATATATATATAAATATATATATAACTATATATATGGAAACATATACAGGTATATAGAAGTATTGAGAATGACATTTAAGGGAAACTACTAAATTTGTGACAGTGGTTATTTCTGAGGATGGAGGAGATGGGTGACATCGGTACTAGGATAAGGACAACAGCTCTTGTGTTACATTGAAAATATTCATGGCAATATGCATCTCATTTGCAATAGAATTGCTCATGGCCTTGGGTGTAAGATGTCATTTGTCTCCGGTTACAGTAAACCCACAACTGATAAATCACCTTTGGATCCTTTTTACAAAAGAATCTTTGCCAAGGTTGTTAGGATCGACATACATTCATGATTGCACTGATGTAACCTAGTTTCTGTTGCTGATACTGTAGCTCCTTCTCAGTAAACCTTCAACGTTTTCTTTGCAATGTGACCAGGTAAAGATCTTTTTAACAGGAACTGTTTTAATCCATTGGGGATGAGTGTCCAAGGTTGTAGTCCATTTCAACAGCCTGACTACAGTAAAGAATCAATAAATAACTAAGTATTCTCAAGGAACTGAGGACCTATCAATGAACCTTGGCATAATTCTGCTACAAGTCTCTGCTACCCTATCTCCTTCCTTCTCTCAGTCATCTAAAGACTCCAGGAAACTCCTCCAGGAAATTCCCCCTCGTTCTTGCAAATTTTAGCTGCTGACTCACAGTCACTGGTTTCAGTATACTTGTCATAATTCAGAGTAATTTCAGTGGCCATGAGGATGAGCCTTTTAACACATGTTGGCTCTTCTCCAGTCCTCCTCTTCTTCAATGAGTTTGTCCTTCGTTGTACCTAAGTCACCCGCTCCTGTTGTCATGATCCCAGCCTTCACCACAATCTAGGTTGTTATCCTCCTCAATCCATTGTGCCCTTATTTCCATTCTACCCATCTTGTATTCCATGGTTCATCAGTATGGTCACTTCTTTGCCTACATCCTCTACTCTCTTGTCCCTCTCTCCCCACCCCACCCTTCCACCCCACACCTCCAACTCCTGCTCTGCATTTCCCCCAGGGAGCTGAGTGTGGCCAAGGAAAAACACAACCAGGTACCGAGAACTCACTTTTAATTCTTTTAGTTCAAGTGGGTGCTCAACAGTCCTGGCAATGCTACTACATTTCCCTAACCCTTTCATACATCCAGTCTCATAGATAACCATTTTACATTTTTTCTTTTCTCAAACTTCAAACTTCGCCATCCACGTTTGCTGCTGGTAACCTTGTTTCCTATTCACTAAGAAAATAGAAGCATCAGAAGAAAAACAGCAAACCTGTCACCCCCTCATCTAGTAATCTACCTGTATCTGATAATCTACCTGTATCTGACCACCCCCCCTCTGCAAGGAACCATCCACACTGATTCTTCCCAGCTGTGCCTTATATCAGATTCCCTCTTGCCTGCTCAAGGACCTCACTACAGCAATTCTCCATCTCTCTCACTTTATCAATTATGCCCTCTCCGTGGAATCACTCTCATAAGCATACCCAATTCCCTAATGTCTAAGGTGCTTGACTGCTAACCAGAAGGCTAGCGGTTCAAACCCACCAGCCACTCCTCAGAAGGTTGAGCAATCTATTTCCATAGCGATACTGCCTTGGAAACCCAAGGAGGGGTCACTATGAGTCAGGTCCAACTCAATGGTGCATAACAACAACAACAACAACAACTCCTTTTAAAAAAATAAAAATCCCTTGACCTCATGTCTCTCTCCAGCCATTGCTTTGTTACTTTGTTCATCTTTACTGCAAAACTCCTTGAAAGGCTTGTCTTTATTCATTATCATGGTTCTTCTCATCCTATTTTCTCTTGATCATTGCTGTAGCTCCACCAAAGCAGCTTTTGTTAAGGTCACCTGTGACCTGCTAAACCACCCTCTGTGTTGCTAAATCCAGTGGCCGTTTCTTGGTCCTCATTTCCCTTGACTCGGTAACAGCACTTGACTCAGTTGATCAGTCCTTGCTCCCTGACACACTTTCTGCATTTAGTTTCTGGACACCGAAGCTGTTTGGTTGCCTCCTACTTACTGACTCAGTCCCTGTTGCTGGTCACTTCAGCTCCCAGACTAATGACTTTAGAGTGTCCCAGGGCTTTACCCATAGACCACTTTCCTTTTTTTATCTATACTCATTTTGTGGGCAATCTCACCAAATCACATAGCATTAAATTACCATCTGTATAGAGTTTATCTATACATTTATATAAATAGTTTGTATCCATCCAAGAAATATTCAAATTGAATTACTTTAGTTTCATTTGTTTTCTTAGCCGGGAAGTTTTCAGGAATTCACGAGAGAGCTTACTTTTATTTAGGATTACAGATGTGGCATCACATTATGATAGCATTCTGATCATGGGATGAGTAGAGGTTACATGCAAAAACAAACAAACACCCAAGGAAGTTCTAAAATGGATATCTCAGTGAGAATTTTAAAAAATGAAATGGCATTTTCTGCTATCAGCTTCCTAGGCTGTGGCTTTGAAGCTTCTGGTATTCACATCATTAAGATAAGCTCTTAATGATAAATTGCACTGCTATCATGGCAAAGCCAAAAGATCCTCTCCTCTGGAACTGCTACATTACAGTTCCTACCATGGGTTGTGTATACATGTTTGAGACAAAAGGCAGATAGCACCAAAATACATGTTGTAGAAACAAATTCATGGCCCAAAACTCATTAACATGGGAAGCTTTATCAAAGTATTGGTTGATTCTTGAGTCAGAGGTAGTTAATTAAGATGAATATAAACCAACCTGAGTTTTGTTTGTCTTTTTCTAAAACCACTGACCTTTGTCAGATGAAACATTCTACAGAATCAAAGTTTTACACAATTCACTGGGGACCTTATCTAGTTGAAAGAGTGAAACAAAAATGATCAAGACTTTATGACTGAACAATTTGAATGAAAAAATTGAAAGATGGTGTGAACTAGGAAAGGAATGGGGAATCCTACCTCATACTCTTGTAGCTATTTTTAATAACTAGTGTGGAACCAAGGAGAGAATTGTATGGTGGAAACTGTGGTGGAAAAAGTCTTATGAGAAAGTGAAATTTATCTTTTTAATTATTAGCAGATTGTGTATCAAGGCCACCTAGTACATAAAATTTTTACCTGGAAAACAAACAGAAAAACTCAACGACTTTGAGAAGAAACTATTCAACACCCAATTCATTTAATTAGTACAGGTAGTTGATTGGGATTATTCAGGACCCAATGTGAATATCTGTAAATTAACTGCACAATTGCCAACTAACTCCTTCATTTTGAAATTCATAGAAACATTCTATGGAGTCCCTGGTTGGGGCAAACAGTGAAGCTCTGACTATTACCTGAAAGGTTGGCCATTTGAACCCACCCAGAGGTGCCTCAGAAGAAAGACCTGGCATTCAACTTCCAAAAGGTCACACATACTGGAAAACCCTATGGAACAGTTCTACTCTGCACACATGAGGTCACTATGAGTCAGAACAGACTCGACAGTAACTAACAGCAACAGCAGAAATATACTATACATTGATATTATCCTATTGTGAGAAACCACATTGCAAATGTTTCTTTGTTAAGCAATATCTCTGGATGCCACCATGTTTTAGAAATGTGCAAATATATGTGAAGTTGTGATCATTGTAATTGTTTCCTTGTCATTAATAAGACTGATCCAATATTTTGCAGTTGTATTGAGATAAACTCTTAAGGAATGAGGTTGATAAGTGGTAGAATTTGTCAAAAATGAATAGGTTCTGGAGTTTATTAGGAATGCAGTATGCCAGGAAACTTCTCCCAGCCCATTTCAGATTTGAGAAAGGAAAAAGCATCATCTTGAGCAGCATCCTTTCATATGTTCACTTGAGTAATTGCTTAGATGTGAAGTCCTGAGACATTGATTTTACAGTTGTCCAATTGGCCCTTTTCTTGGCAGGTTCCTGAAGGAAAGGTAGTCGTTCTTAATTTCCGATTCATAGACCTCGAGAGTGACAACCTTTGCCGCTACGACTTTGTGGATGTGTACAATGGCCATGCCAACAGCCAGCGCATTGGGCGCTTCTGTGGCACATTCCGGCCTGGAGCTCTTGTGTCCAATGGCAACAAGATGATGGTGCAGATGATTTCCGATGCCAATACAGCTGGAAATGGCTTCATGGCCATGTTCTCGGCCGCTGAACCAAATGAGAGAGGTATTGTTTCCAAAATGATGGCAATAATAATGGCTCACATTTAGTTAATGCCTATTATGTCTCAGGCACTATTCTAGGTACTCTTTATATATTTATTTCTTTAATTCTTTGCAAGCAAAGAACTAATGAACACCACCAAACCATCAAGAGATCATAAAAAAATCAGTTATTTTTTTTAGTCAATATACCTGTTCCGGTTACCTAGTGCTGCTCTGACAAGAATATATACCATAAATGGGATGACCTTAACAAACATGAGTTTATTCTCTTACGGTTTGGGAGGCTAGAAGTCTGAGTTCAAAGTGCCAGGCTCTAGGGGCTGGGTGAAAGCCCCTCAGCCTTGGGCTTCAGCTCTGCCTCCAGCTCCTGGCCCACTGAAGCTAGAGGCTTTTCTTCACTCAGACAGCTGCCAGCTGCTGAGGCTGACAAGTAAAAAGGCACAGTCCTGATATTATCAAATCACATGGCAGGCCATTAATTCAAGTCCATTGTAAGTCCCAAGGTCGGCAGAGCGTGGCAGACTGCTCAACAATGACACAGCTACATGCAGGGTTCAAGGTGCCATAAGCTAGAGACCATTCCCAAAGCTGCTGCTTATATGCAGGAAGCAGACCACATAGCCAAAGACAGCTACTCAGCTGCTTGTGGTAGATCCCACCATGGAGATGACTGTCAGTCTCATCATGGGGAATGCAAAAACGGCAAGGAGGTCACATGTTCCGACCTCCTCTAATCCTACAAGGGGAAGACAGGATTACCAGCCATAACCAAAGGCCTATTCCTACAAGGCCAGACATGCTGCCTCCCTCCAGCCCTTTCACCAACCGTTCCTCCCAAAGTACCCACCACCTCTCTCCTGGGTTCGATAATTCGCTGCAGTGGCCACACAGAACTCACAGATTATGAGGTTTATTAGGGAATCACCAGGCTACAATTCGAGTTCAGGAAAAATGCTAAATATCTCTCCCAGCCCACCGTCCCTCAGCCAACAGTCTCTCACAGTCTCTTTCCCAGCAGTGCTGGTCCCTCGGTGTCTCACTCAGTGATGCGTATCTCTTGCGTCTCTCTCCCAGCAACACGTATCTTAGGAGCCCGTGTCTCTTTCAGCAGCACGTCTTCCTCAACCAGCAGTCAGAGAGAGAGAGTTCTGCCTCTAGGAGGCCTCCTTTTTGAGCCCAGCAGGGTGGTCAAATTAGCCAATCATAGCATCAGAACTCTAAGCACCTGAAAGAGAGTGGGCACCTCCCAGAACATTGTATTGTTCCACTCTCAACAGAAATACTCCAGGTGGAAAACTTCAGCAATCAGGAGCTCCTCAGTTGCTCATAGAAAATCCCACCTTGGAATTTACAAAGACTTATGGGTAGAAAAGCCACACTAAGTAATTTACTACACTGCAGGGAATAACTACCACCAGCTTCCCAGCCATTCAATCAGGCCCCGCCAAGTTGACACACAAACTGAGCTACCACAATACCTTATTGTAAATATTCAAACATAGACATTCATGGAATAAAAATGTGAAGCTTACACATACATATACATACACGTACAGATGTACAGACACATCCCTCCATCCTCTTGTTCTCTTTCCAGAGGTAAGCATGGCTGGTGGTTTCCATTACCATTCACTGTGCACTTCCTTATATGTATATGGTTTTACAAGTAGCTTTGTTGTTGTTAAGTGGAATCATAATTCATATTGTTCCACAACTTGTTCTTTTCACTTAATATTACATCTTAGGATGATATCCTTATGTCAGCACATGTGAGCTGTGTTTGAAGCAAAAAAATAAAATGATATCAAGAGCCACAGAAGAAATCTTGGCTATTTAGCCAAGAGCTATATACCAAGCACTATCTTTTACATAGTGTGCTAAGAGAAGCTTAGAGTTTAAGATGTAGACTGTGTATGTTTATTTCTAATCAAACATATATTCATTTATTTAACCAACATTTACTGTGTGTCTCATATAAATAAAGCTTCCAAACTAATCACTGCCGTCAAGTCGGATCCAACTCATAGCAACCCCTCCTTGGGTTTCCGAGGCAGTATCACTACGGAAGTAGATTGCCCAACCTTCCTTCTGAGGAGTGGCTTGTGGGTTTGAACCGCCAACCTTCTGGTTAGCAGTCAAATGCCTTAGGCACTCTGCCACCAGAGCACCCCTCATAAATAAAGCACTGGGAGTTATAAAGCTAATTTGGAGTGATCCCTATCATCTAAGAAGATACTTCTTTCTTTCTCTTTATCAAAATAAGACATTCAGTTAAAAGTTTTCACTAAACTGACAGAAGAGGGTATGTTTGAATTAACTTATGTAAATCACTTCAAACTGCTAACACTGTTCATGAAATGCAGATGTACAAGCAGTCTCCATCTATACAAAACTACTAGATTATGGAAATGAAAATGAATATTAAAATTAAAATGTTTTGCCTGATGTTGATGCTAAGTCCATCCAGTCAATTCCAGTTCATAGCAACCACTAAATACAACAAAATACAATACTGTCTGGTTCTGTGCCATACTCACAATTGTTATAATTGAGCCTATTGTTGCAGCCACTTCATCAATCCATTTCATTGAGGGTCCTACTCTTTTTCACTGACCCTCTGCTTCCCCAAGCATGATGTCCCTGGGCTGTTCTGATAACATGTTCAAAGTAAGGAAGATTAAGTCTTGCCATCCTTGCTGCTAAGGAGCATTCTGGCTGACCTTCTTCCAAGACAGGTTTGCTCATTTTTCTGGCAGTCCATGGTATAATCAGTATTCTTCACCAACACCATACACTTCAGTTCCTCCTCCATCTTCCTTATTCATTGTCCAGCTTTCATGTGCATATGTGAGGTGATTGAGTATACCATGGCTTGGATCAGGCACACCTTAGTCCTCAAAAGTGACGTTTTTGCTTTTTAACACTTTAAAGAGGTCTTTTGCAGTAGATTTGCCCAATACAATATGTCATTTGATTTCTTAACTGTTACTGCTATTTGGATTGTGGATCCAAATGAAATTAAATCCTCCACAACTTCAGTCTTTTCTCCATTTATCATGATGATGTTTATTGGTCCAGTTGTGAGCATTTTTGTTTTCTTTATGTTGAGGTGTAATCTGTACTGAAGGCTAGAATCTTTGATCTTCATTAGTAAATGCTTCAAGTCATCTTCAACTTCAACAAGGAAGATTGTGCCATCTACATCTCACAGGTTGTTAATAAGTCTTCCTCCAATTCTCATCACACATTCTTCTTCATATAGTCTAACTTTTTGGATTATTTCTCACTATGAATAAATATGGTGAAAGGATACAACAAATGAGCACAATTAAGTGTTCTGAAATTCCCTTTCTTCTCAATGTTATCTATAATTTGTTATGATCCACACAGTTGAGTCTGTGCATTCTATAAAACACAGCTAAACATCTCTCTGATATTCTCTGCTCAGCCAAGATCCATTGGATAGCAATGATCTCTCTCATTCTTTTTCCATGTCCTCTTCTGAATCCAGCTTTAATTTCTGGCAGTTCCCTGTCTCTGTACTGCTGCAGCCGTTTTTGAATTGTCTTCAGCAATATTTTACTGAGTATAATATTAATGATACAGTTCCATAAATTATGCACTCTGTTGGAGCGTTTTTCTTTGGAATGGACACAAATAAAGATCTCTTCTAGTTCATTTGGCCAGGTAGCTATCTTCCGTGTTTCTTGCCGCAGACAAGTGAGCGCTTCCAGCTTTTCCTTTATTTGTTGAAACGTCTCAATGGGTATTCTGTCAATTCCTGGAGACTTTTTTTTTAACTTTTTTTTTTAATCATGATTTGGATGAAAGTTTACAGAGAAAATTGTTTTTTCTTTCAATTCATATACATTTTGTTTTGTGATATTGATTACAATCCTTACAATGTAACAACACTCCTCTCACTTCTTCCTGTGTTTATGTTTTCCATTTGTCCTTCTTTCCTTTCCTTTCATGCCTTCTGAGCTATATCTTTGGGCAAATGTGCCCTTTTGATCACCAGTGGTTTATTGTTCTGAGGGGCACGTACCACCCTGGTGTTAGTGTTAATCTTATAGGCCTATCTATCCTTTGCCTAAAAGTTGAGCCACGGTTCCAAGTTTGAATGGTGTCTAAGGGCTATAATCTTGGGGGTTCACTTTCAAACCAGTTAGCTTGGTCTTTTATGTTATTTTAAGTTTTATTCCACATTTTTCTTCCATTCTATCCAAGCCTCCTATTGCAATCTTTTTCAGAGTGGTCACCAGTGGTAACCAGCACCATCTAGTTCTTCTCAGGGTCAGGGAGGCTGTGGTTCATGTGGTCCATTAGTCCTTGGGCTCGTTGTTTCCTTGTAACTTTAATTTTCTTCATTTTTCTCCATATGGGGACAGACCAAGAGTTGCATCTTAGATGGCTGCTCATAAGTTTTTAAGATCCCAGTTGCTACTTACCAAAGTAGGGTGCAGAACAATATGGTCTTTAGCTGGGTTCTCTAGAAACACAAAACCAGTGAAGCTCATGTGTATGCATACATATGGGCGGGGGGATTTCTCTCAAGGAAATGACTCATTCAGTTGCAGAGGCTCGCAAGTCCCAAGTTCATTAGTCACACATCAAGCTGGAGATTTCTCTTGACTCACACAGCTGTAGGGGCTGACAAACCCAAGATCGGCAGGCAGTATGGCAGACTGCTGGCTTCATTGGATGAGGGATCCAAGATCGTTAGGTAACTTAGCAGATCATTGGTTCACAGTGTGCAAAGGCAACAATCTCAGCATTAGCAGGCAATATGGCCACTTGTTCACGTCTAGAAACTGGAGATGATGATGAGGTAGATGCAGGATCAATATCTAGCAGAAAGCCAGAGAATTTTCCCAGGATGTCATATTTATATTGGAAGGAGGCTGCACCTCTGAGGAAACTCCTTTTCAACTGATTGGCTGCTCATAGCACATTTCATCATGGAGATGATTGTATTATACTACATCTCTTCATGGGTAA